TGGTACTTTCTTAAATGACCTAGTTTTGATTTTGGCATTTGGAGTCTTAACTATATTTCAAAACTCATTTATTTACTTTATGAGAAAATCATTATCTTTATTCATCATCTTTCAAGGAACCTGTGTCACCATCAGTGTGATTTGGTTTCTCTGATCTTTGAACAATGATTAAGTTTAGTAAGAATAAAATTCACCTGGGCTGTTGTTACAATGCAGATGCCTAGGCTTGCTGGTGAATTTTATTCAATAGGGTTGGCAGAGAGCCCAGAACTCTACCTGTTGGAGCACACTGACATTAATTTGATGCAGGCTATTTGTGGACCACACATTGGAAATGATTTTTGCCTAAATTTCCCTGCTTTTGAAGCAAAAGTGACTGTTGCTTTTTTTTTTGTTCATTTTTAAAATGTAATTTTTATTTTTAGGTGACCTTTCAGCCCAATTTGTTACATTTCATTAGAATCTGCTTGGTCTACTTTTTCCAATTTCAGCATTTGGTATGAGGCATTTATAGAAAAGTGACTTGAAAGCAATTTAACCACAAGCTCAGCCAAATTAATTTAGGGAGAGTTTAGTAAACAGCCTTTGCTTTCTGTACTTAAGTGATCAATTTCAACACCTGCTTTTCCTTCCAGATGGAGTTAATTAACATTAAAATTATTGCCTATAGCAGAGACTTTTTTGATAACTCACAACCCCCAGCTGCATCTGTATTCCTATACTTCTGAAAATTAAAACAACATGATCACCTCTATGAGAAGTGAATTTATCATTGAAGTATTTCAAGATCTGCACGTAAATACAATCGTGAAAGAAAGAAGGTTGACGTGCATACAGTGGATGCTATATGCTTGGTATTTTCACATATGAGATCTAGTGCAATTCTCATAGCTCAAGAAGGGTGTTAATATTTAGAAAAGTGAAAATAAGAAAAGTTCTGTAACCTTTTTGATGTTCTGCTATTATTAAGAGGTACAGCCAGAATATAAATCCCTATTTCATCAAAGTTCATCTTTTTTCACTACACTGAGCTCAGCTTAGACTGAATGAGGATTGGCAATTTTAAAAAGCAATTCCTAGGAAGATTTTAGTAAAATATTTGGTGTGTGGTATATTGAAAATAATATAAACTACATATACATATATACATCTATCTGAAATATATATGATGTCCCAGTGTGGCCTGGTACCACTGTAGTCTTTCATAATTAGTATTTGCTACCTTCAATGAGATCTTATGTCTCAGACACTGGACTCAGTTCAGAAGAGATAAAGGCAAGGGAAAGGTAAAGTATGATGATCATTACAATGCAGTTTTAAGTACTGTAATGAGGTATAGAGAAGATATTGTGAGTTCAAAAGAGAATAGGGGATTCAGTGGCAAAATCGTATTTTAGGCATAAGTCTCTCAACTTTCTCATTAAAAGAGGGTTATGGAAAGATTGAATAAGACATTTTACTGACTTTGAAGCATTCTTTTTTAAAAGTTTGCTTTATAAGTAAGTTTGGATGATCTATAATTCAGCTTTTTGCTACTACTGAATCTCATGGTAACAATGCAATTTATTTAAATATTATAAGCCAAGATGCATAAACATATGAAAATCTGAATGCCCAGTACTTGCCCATGTTTATGAATAACCAGAACATTTAGCACATTGTTCATCTTATGAAAGATGCCAGGCTTTTCTTAGAAAAAAATGTTTTCATTCTGCTAAAATTGCTTGGTGATTAGTACTATTAATGAGGAAAAAGTTAAAATGCTACACTTAGGGGGATTTATGATGTATATGATGTGTGATATGTTCATATGTATAAAAACAGAAATATATATGTACATAGTCAAGTTTCACTAGATGCTGTTATGTTCCATAAATTGCTGCACTACATTAGTGAAGACTAAACTACTGCTTCTATGGAATATATAGTGTTGGGTTTCTGCAGCTGCACTCCCAAGTCACAACATTGTTGTCAGCTGATTGGTACATAACCTTGTTTTGTGAATGAGAAAAAAAAAAAACATTTAATATGTATTTTTGATTTCTTAACTAAACTCACAATAACAGATTTATATCTGATGTTTGAACAAAGCTTATGTAACATGTACATTTTCTTCAATAGGCACATCACAGACTTCTAGGAACACTATATCAAAAAGCACCACACTTGGGTTACACTTTAAAAAGCTAGATCAACACACACACACATGCCCACAGTGGTAGCATACACCTATATTTTAGCTACTCCATAGACTGAGGCAAGAGTTTCACAAGTTTAGGGCCAGCCTTAGCAACTCAACAAGAAACACACAATTAAAAAAAAAGTAAAAATAAAAGGGTCAGAGGATATGGCTTAGTGGTAGAGCACTCCTGGGGTTCAATAGCTAGTAGCACAAAAAACGCAGGACTGAATTGAAAATGAAAGGACACTTGTCTTGTGTTTGGAACTGAAACAAAAGGCAGAGTATCACTTCAGCAGGAACATGAGCATTAGGCAATGCAAAATATTTTCCACTCTGTCCACATGTGACCATAATAGTGCCAGAAGTACCAATTCAGGAGTTATATCAGTATATTAATTCACAAACAGGATGCTGTATTTCACTTTAAAATTTTTAATGTTAGTAATAAATTCGGTGATGGCAAGGTAACCCCAAAAGATAGACTATTTTATCTTTTTAGCACATTTTATTTGAAAAGAATTGTGTAAAAACTGTTCATTTCCCATTGTATTTGCATTAAAACTGGATTCTCTGATACAATCAAGGACATCATTCTAACTCATTGACTTTGGCTTGCAATCACATTTGAAGCCTTCTAGCACTTAACCATACAGTCTAAGACACTGCATAACTTAGAGAGGACTTAAATGCCTTTGGGGATGACTTCAGTTAAACTGGGTATTTTATTTTGATGAATTTGGGCATTCTTAAGTTTGCTGGGGAAGAATTTGTTTTAATTGAGGTCCTAGAGACTAAAGAAATTGAATAGGGAATAGGATTTTTTTAAATGCCTACTCTATTAATAAGCTGTGGTTATGCAACACAGCATCTTAAAACATAGTGGTGAAAACACCAACTGTTTGCTCTTAAGGTGACTTTATTTGGCTGAGGTTCTTTGGGCCCCACTGGGCAGGTTCACTTCAAAGTGAGACAGCCAAAGCTCTTTTCCACCTTGCCGCAGGTCTGGTCTCAGCTGGGGTAGCTGTGTCCCACCGACCCTCATCTTCCTCAAACCACTAAACAAATTTGAGTTTGGGCCGACACACAAGAGGAAAAGTAGAAATACCCAACTCCTTTTAACAGGCAGAGTTGTCACTGTCTCCTCTACCATTTTTCATGAGCCAAAGTAAAAGCTCAGTCCAAAGTCAAGGAGTTGAGAAATACTATCTTGATTTTTAGAAAAAACAACTGCAAAGGGCGAGAGTGGAGGAAGAATAGAGCCATTAATTCAGTTGATTACACTTGCTATGAGATTGGCACAGACTTTAAACAGCTCAAAATACTTTAGCAAATGTAATATATTCTTTCTCGCTCACTCACCTGTTTCTATATGGATCTTTAGTTTTATAAATGAAGAAACTGAGGCTTGAAGTTTCAAGTAAACTGCTTCAAGCCCTACAATAAGGGAAAGAACAAGTCCTCACATAAAGGCTTACCAGGCATCAAGCCTGAGGTCTGCACTCACCACTCTTGTTTTAGAAGATGATGTCTACCATAGGTAGACCCCAAATTAAATCCAGATGTGACCTTCCTCACCTTTTCCTTTTTGGCTGTATTGCCTACCACTACCACCTTCATTTATTCTGTTCAATGCTACTTGTAGCTGCCTTTTCCTCAAAAGCTTCTGTCAAGTCTCAGCTTTGAGTCTGTGAAACTATCTTTGTAGTAGAGCTTTCTCTCTGGATCATTCTTCATGGAAGGTCACCTAAATTTGCCTCCCACATGTTTCAATTGTTTGTTTAAATATTAGTCTAACTTAACACTCAATTTAATAGTGCAAACTGCCTCTCTTCTACTCCACCTGAGCTTCTAATCTGCAACTCACAATTTCTTATCTGTTTTTTTAACTCTTCTACATTTTATGTAATGTACTTTTCTATCATGATTATTGTTAATTGTCCATCACCCATTGTTCAAATGTAAACTCATGAAAGCAGATTCTTGGTCTGGGTTGTTCACTATTGTATCCTAAATAATAAATATGCCTGAAACCTCATAATCACTCTCAAGTATTTGTTGAACCAATGAATACATTTTCTAACACAGTAGCATCTCAATAGTGGGAAATTATAAATCAATGTGATTTTGTGATGAATCCAGGATCTGCAAATCACTACCTTCATAACTTTGAGCCACAATTTTCTTCAAAATGATAAACACTGTTAAGGTCTCATAGAGAAACCCTCAGTTTTGACAGGTTCATGGTTAATGTAAGGTCCAACATCTGATGGCTGGAGTGCAGCCCCAAACTAGCAATGTACCAGAATAGGGACAAAGTGTAGTTTCTGACCACATGGATTCCAATTGCACTTTCTGTATCCATTTATAGCTTCTTAAAATGAAAAAGTGTCCTTCAAATGTGCATTTTTCTTCCATCCTCCACCTGCAGCAGGTTATTCTTTCTTCATTGCAAGCACGTGACACCATTACTTCTCTAATTGCTAGCAGTCAGTGTAGCTGGGAGAGAAAGGGGTTAAATTAGCTATTAGCCAGCTAACAGGTAGCAGAGAAAGACTGTTTAGCTGCTGCCATTTCTTGATTGGAATTAAAGGTGGGCATGCAAGATATCAGAATTATGAATGGGAAAAACAGGAAATTTTTTTTTTTTTACGTTTGTTAAGTATGCTTCCTTAATACCTTTTGTCCTGTGAGTTATTTTGGGAATATAAAGGTAAAATAGTTATTAGGGCAAACCAGATATTTAAAGTGGGCAGCTGGGTTAATGTAGTTCTAATGATGTGATCTCCAAATTTATATTTCAATTCTTATTTTTTTTTAGCATCAATATTACTCAGAGATGAGAGCTAAGATGTAAACTGACTGGTAAGTGACATCACATTTGTTAACAAGACCTAGTTTTTAAAGCAGATATTCTACATTCATTCTGGCACTCTGATATTTAAAGGCTGGAACCAAGAACTATGAGTTATGGATATTAGAATATTCTGTTGTCTTCCTGTACATAGAGCACGTAGAAAATATTTTATTTCTCCTCATGAAGTAATGCAAAAAGATCAAATAGCTCAACGTGCAAAGTGTAGAAGATAGTTGAATTAAATTACTTGGATAATATCTGATGTTTGTTTCAGTTATAAATTACATTTATAAAAACATGGAATATGTATGAATAAAGGGAAAAAGAGAAATGCACTTGGGAGGATATACATAGGATATTTCTTTCTACAAACAATGTAATTACTTCAATTTTATGTTTTTTAAATGTAATAATCATGAAAAGAATGAAATATACCTGAAATTCATTCTTCTCATATGTGGTTAGAAATAGGAAAATGAAAGATTCATTCTTGCTCTAGAATTGAATTGATAAATCTTTATCTGAAAACAAGTTTACAAATTCTGTGGCAATTACATTAATTTAAAATTTGTCAATATATAACTTATGTTTTCTGATATTTTTCCTTAATTAGCAAGCTTACTAAAAACTGTATTTGTGTGTTAATTTTAAGATATGTAGTTTGAGAGTAATTTAATGATGTCAGGTTATATTTTCTGTTTTTATTTGTGTAGTTTAAATAAACCTCATGGCAAAGTCACCAGATTTTGACATAAATCTGGGGAAATTGTTTTTTTCCTAAAGAAAATAACAGATATTCTGTGAAAGTTTCTATGGCTCTACGTAACTTAGCTGAGAATCAATACAATGGGAAGAACTGTATTCTGAGTGAAGAGCTTTAGGTGGGTTGTTCTAGAGAGAGTTTATACCTCTCTGATGAATAATGAGGTACTTCTTTTTTAAAAAATTTGTTCTAATTAGTTATGCTGACAATACAATGCATTTTGACATATCATACATAAATGGTATATAACCTATTATTCTTCTGGTTGTACATGATGGGGAATTACACCATTTTGTAGTCCTGTATGTACACAGGGTAATAATGTCTGAGTCATTCTACTTCTTAAATAATGCAAGATGTCTTAGGAGTGCTGTTGGAAATATAATTCCTAATTTTAAAATCTGCAATTGAGAAAATGTAATATATATTAATGTCTACAAATGATTTTTCATTCAAACATTTTAGCAATATATTTTAATGATATCCTTTGAGAATATAAGATAAAATATTTTAGTAGCAATGGAATAAAATCATCCTTATTGTATACCACCTTATCTGTTTGCTACCTTTTAACATTAAAGTTGATTCTTTCCTATAGCATTTTTATTCTTAAGTATTGGGTCTGTAAGTGAGACAGTATTATCTGATATCACCAAGGCAAATACAATTGTGTTGAGCAATTACAACATACAATCTAAGTATCAGTTTAGAACAGGCTGAAATAAAAGAGTTATAGCTTTTATAAAGGCCCATCAAATCCTTGAAAGTTTGGAAAAAAATAAAAGCCAGAAGGAGAGAAGTGAAATCAATGGATCAGAAGTATGAGTATTGGAAATCCCTATTTGTAGAGAGTTGGAAATCAAGGTGTACAAATAGGAGCAACTTTATGAAAATATAAAGTGGAAAGTTGGGACATCTGGTCATGCCTTTGTTTAGTCTATTTCACTATTAGTTTATTAAAAATAAAACATATAAAGCATGTTGAAGCACCTTTCTTGAAACTATCTGGCATGTGTGTTTGTTGCCTTGACACTGTCTGATTGGCAGTCCTACCTTAAGAGAACTGTTTATGGTACAAAACAATGCCATAAAGAACTTCCAAAAATTTAAGAAAAACTAATCTTCAACTTGACATATTGGAGAAATGTAACAGCCATTGAATATTTAACACACAATGGGTGGGTCCAAAGAAGCAGCCTTAGTTTTTTGATTTCTTCATCTCCTACATAGCAAAAGGACAGCTACCTTTATAAAGAGTATATATTTCATTTAACACAATACTGTGGAATGTTATGAAACATATGAATCTAAATGTTAAAATTAAAATGACTTGGCTGGGGATATAGCTCAGTTGGTAGGGTGCTTGCCTTGTAATGCACAAGGCCCTGGGTTCGATCCCCAGCACCACAAAATAATAATAATAATAATAATAATAATAATAATAATAATAATAATAATAATAATAATAATAAATTAAAAACAATACTTACCTGTAGTGCTATACTAGGAACATGAGAAACACATTTGTGCTTAAGTAATTCATGCCAGTGGATAAGAGTACATATAACTTTTATGTGTAAGGAGCCTTTACCAAACAATTACAACATGGATTCAAATGTCAAGAGTTGTTTTGTTAAAGGTTTTGGTTCACGTATGAAATAAGAAATCATTCTTCTAGAAGTAATTTGTTAAAATTTCCCAACCACCCAACTCTTACTAAAATGTGTTTTCTTGGCAATGTTGTGTATACATTAAAAAGATATTAACAAAAATAATCAGGACTTCAGGTTTATATTGTCATCAAAAATTATGGATGAAGACATAATTTGATTATTGATATCTTCTAAAAAAGGAAAAGCTTATTTTTAAATGATACTTTGTAGTCTGTAACGGCTGCAAGATCTATGTTTTCTAAGACTAATTTACCACTGATCCCTGATGAAATAAAATGTGTTCAGAACATAAATTATCTTAATAAATAGTTGTTGATTTAATACATTAATGGATTACATTTTCGAGGATAAGACTGAATGGAAAGGGATGTCATCATGTTATCTTAATTCTTAAAGTAACTCATGTACAAAGAAATTTCCTTGGTGTTGCTTAAAGAAGCAGTTATGCATATGTTTAAGAGCAAGGACTGTGGATATAGAATTTCTAATTAAAATTCAAGCTCATAAAAGGTATAGGACCGGAGCCTGGCACGGTGGCACATGTCGGTAATCTAGTGGCTCAGGAGGTGAAAGCATGAGGATTGCCAAATTCAAAGCCAGCTTCAGCAAAAGCTAGGTGCTAAGCAACTCAGTGAGACCCTGTTTCTAAATAAAATAAAATAAAAAATAGGGCTGAGGATGTGGCTCAGTGGTTGAATGCACATGAGTTAAATCCCCTGTACTAACCCCCTCAAAAAAAGGATATAGGACATGATATCATTCTATTTGACATTTTCATCATTTCAAATACTGAGTGAGCAAATCTTTGTAATGCACTTAGAACAGCTCTGATCACAGAGTGTCATTTAGTTAATAGCAATTTTTGTCATTATCACTGAAATTGCAAAAGTTTTCTATGTGCAGAATGCTTATATTCTAGGAGAGAGATATAAACAAAATTATTATGAAGTGTTAAGTTCAGAAGTTGAAATGGAGTATAAAATGGGAATTTAGAATTTGGAATTATTTCCTGAATGAAGGAACTTCAACTGGCCCCTAAATAATTTCACATTATTATGAAGCTTATCATGTACATTTCAGCATGAGAAACTAGGAGTGACCCTATTTTGATGAAGATTAAGTAGCTAGACATAAAAGAGATGTGAGGAATCAACAAACATCATTAAGTCCCCAATGTTTTTTTCTAAATTAATTTGTTAGATACTTATCTCATTAAAAATTATCCTGACATTTCCTGCTATCATTTACACTTTAATCTGGTATTCAAGGTGAATCAATGTTAATGACTCACCCATCTCTCCAACCTTATCTGCAAACATTATTCATTTTCCAATCCTAATTTCATTATTTTATACTCCAAATTTTAACTTTTTTCTCAAATATCACTGATTTTGGACATTTCCTTTCTACCCCACAAAGTCTTATGCTTAGTCTTACATCAGAAAAAAAATTCTAGTCTTTGGTAAGATTTCTTGTCTAAGTTATTTTCTTTTAAGACTTAACTTTATAATTTCAAGTTTGGCTAATAGATATCAAATTCTCCCTGCCCCAGAACACAAAATATATATGAAATTCTCAATTTGTTTAATAAGGAATAGAGTATCTTACTAGAAATGAGCTTAGCCAGGCAGAACTCTAACAGATGCAGCTTATCTCAGAATGGATCCCGGTGGCCCTTGAATTCCTGTGGGTAGAGCTGGTATGCAGCTACTGGGAAGACTTCTAGAATTGCAGAGAATTGTTGATCTTAGAAGCTAGTTAAATTATGGGCCTTTTTCCCTTATGTAATGAGTGTTCTTGTTATTATCTCTGAAGAATGATACATGCTGTCTACATGCTTCCACTTTCAGGGAAATATTGATTTCCCCATTCTGAACTAATCTCAGCATTAGGGAGGTGGCATCTTCAACTTGGGGAAGCAGGAATGTACTTCTGAGAAGTATTTGTGTTGAAAGTTTCATCACAACAGAAAACTTATTTTCCAAAATTCTGTGTATAGTAGCATTAGACCTCTTCTCTCTGCCATGGCACTTTCTTTGTACCATGAGTTAGGCTCCAGTCTAGGAACAGGGACCAGTAGACAGATGCAGCTCTGTCTTCAAAATGTCTTCATAGAAACTGCGTAACAGTACATAATACAGCTCAATAGCCATATAATTTGAAAGATCTTTTGTGTCACTATCATGAAGTTACCAATGTGTGTAAATTGGCATCTAACTCATAGTGTAGGAAGGAGAGGTATCTCTCAGAAGAAGGTGACACGTGAAATACAGGTATGAGTTAACCAGTTAAAGAATTTGGAGAGAACATACTAGTTATATGGTATGCTATTTCAAAGAGTCCCTAAATAAGAACATGACACATTAAAAATATAGTTCTGCATTAGGATTTCTGTTCTAAGACTCAATACTAGGTTCTAGTTCAGCTGATGATTCTTGATGAATCACTCACTGTGGTCATATCTTTCTGCTGGGAATTGCACATAAAATGTATCTTCATTCGCTAAAAATATTTTAAATATTCACCTATGTTTGTACTTATGTGTATGTATATTAGGGAGATGGAAGGATGA